AGCACCGTCGCGGGACCACCGCCGCTTTCACAATGCCGCGCTAACAAGGTCAGCAATTAATGAATCGGTGGAAACGGTACGGCAGAAAAATACGTCGGCACTGTGGGGACCGTGGTGGCCGTCGTGGAGCGCAGGGTGACTCGAAATCGCATCGTTTAGATCGGCAGAGAAAATGAAATATTCGATGATAAGAGGGCGAATAATATCTGGATACGTGAATTTATGGTGGAAAGTGTTATTTCTTTTTTGATTAAATTTAATGGAATTTTTTTGAGGATGAAGAAATTACATATGAATTATGACTGTAAAAAATGACTGTAAAAATTTTTTATTTCGTGTGAAAATATTGCCAAGTAGTTTTTACTTGTTGGAAAGAATATAATAAGGAAAAAATTTTTCTGAAATGAATTACATATGTAAAAAAAAAAAAAAAAAAAAAAGGAAGGAAGCATAATACAGGAAAATCGGCATACATAGTTTTTGATTCACCGGTGTATTTTTCACGTGTCGATGATCCTATGGTCGCGCGAAAGAAATCGTAGTACACGCGTTTCAAACTTTTCTGTCTCGCGATCCGCGCACCCTCCTCCCCTCCCCTCTCTCTGCGACCGTCCTCTTTATGAAAACTCGCCACCATTCTCGTCCGACTTGCTGTGGCAACGGATGAACTATTTTCCGTGAATATTTCGGAACTATCAAAAAATATCCTTTGAGGTAAGCATCGTTGGAGAGGCCCGCCGGTGGTTTGCATTCGCCTACCGTGAAAATGGAACTCTTCAAAAATTGAGCGCAACGCGCTCCAGATTCAACCGGCTGATATTTCTATCCAGTTGCAATAAAAAATTCTCCACGTTACAAAACAAAAAAAGAAGAAAAAAAATAGGAGAAACAAAGAGGAAGAGAAAAGGATAATAGATACGAGCGATGAAAGAACAGAAAGAGAAAGAAGTTATAATTTAATCCGAAACTTTCGACACGAGTCGTCTTTTTCCTTTCGATAAATAATACAAAAAAAAAAAAAAAATGAAATATTAAATTCAGATCGTG